AAAATTATTAATGATCGAGATTGATCAATAATTTATAATTAAACCTCTGTCATCCGATTTGTAGATGGGACACACTCGACTTTCATTCCATTTATCTGGAATACGTGATGTGGATAACATAATGTTGAATAATATATTCCAGGCTTTCATTATACCAGTAACAGTATCTTTGACTAAAAAAAAAAGGAATCTTATCTGGTTTCAGCTTTTTTTAAATTTCTTTTTCGCTGATGCACTCCAAAGTTATATCGATAATATCTGTACTGATATTAGGAGGAAGACTGCCATTTTCATAGGTGTCACAGTTGAAAAAATTAGCAAAAGCATCAACAATCGATTGAGGATCACGCAAATGATTATTCAAATACATATTGCTTGGGATGCCCAACGTTTAATTTTTTTGGTGGACAAATTACCATAAGAGGCAGGATCGGCTTTCATCGAGCACTATATTGTTTGAAGATAATCCTTGTATGCCATTTTGATCTGTGATTTTGTGAGCGATCTTAACCTGGTGAATTCATCTTTGAAACAATTATTTTTTCTGCTTCCACTTACGATAGTTCCTAGCCTTGTCTTTTATGTTTTTTTTATTTGAAATTTAAGCTTTAGAATAAAAATTGGTACAAATAATTTTTCTCAGCAATTGATGTTAGGAGTAACAATAATAGCGGGATGATGTTCATTAGGTTAAACTAAAGCTACATGATCACATTCAACAGTACAAACAATATTACTCGATATCAAATCTAAAAATCTGTTTGAACTGTTTGGCACATTGTTGAACTGATTTAAGATTTGCAAAGAAAAGCAAAACTACTTACTGCCCTTGTTTTGCTATCAGATTCATCTTTCAGATAGAATTTCGGAACATTCAAATCGATAAGAAACGCTATTTTTGACCCGTTCAACACGTTCCATTCTTCTATGGCTTCACAAAGTAGCTCAAAATCATATAATGTTATGTTTGCAGGAATATACAAAGTAACTATATAGATAGTGCCGTGAGAAATGTGGCATTTACAGCATAGAAATTTAAGATTTGGGAAACACAAAATTATTTACTATCCTTGTTTTTCTGTCAGATTCATCCTTCAGGTAGAATTTGGGAACATTGAGATCGCCAAGAAAAACTATTTTGCCCCGTTCAACACATTCCATTCTTTTATGGCTTCACAAAATAGCTCAAAATCATGTAGAGTTATGTTTGGAGGAATATACAAAGCAACTACATATGTATACAGGGTGGCCGATCCATGTGTGGATGGAATATTTCTCATACACAAATACAATTTGAGAAAATCTATTCATGGGATGTTATACACGACGTTTGAGGGCACATTTCTAAAATTATGGCCATTATACAAGGTGTCCCAATTTCGACCTACATATCAATGTTGTGATTTTTTAAATCGAATGCCTCAAATTTTGTTGCTTATTTGGATAAACCAATTCAAAAGAAGAAAATTGATATAACATACTACGGGGTTTTGGTAATTAGCTACTGAGATATAAGGTGATTTGTCTAGAAAAACCTCCCACTTCGGCAACCCTTCAGTCCGCCATTTTGAAATTTGGAGTGCTGAATTTTGTATCAGAAAAAACTTAAACACCTCAGCTTCTATCTTATTTGTTACTTTTTCGAATTTTAACAGGGTGGTCAAAAAGGCAAATTGTAGTTTTTCTCAAAAATTTCAAATGCATCACCCTGTATATTTGTGCAAGTTTGGATTCGATTTTTTATAAGCTTTTTTTGACACTAGACACAGGGGTTTTTACGGCTATTTTTTCGGTTATTAGCACGTCTTGTATCTAACGGCTTAATTCCCTAAAATATTGCATTATCCTTGGAAACAAATAAATTGTTGATTAGTTACAAACTGTCAAAATTAGTTTTGTGAGGATTATAATAAAAACGTGTTTGAAAATGAATTTTTCTAAAGAAAAAATGGTAACTAAGGTGTTCGTTTTGGGCGAAGCCCAAAGAAATAGTTTCCTAGCATCACACATTTATAAGCAACGGTACCCTAATATGCGACATCCAAGGCCGGAAACATTTTCCACACTACGAGAACGTTTTGAGTCAAGTGAAGCAGTGGAATATAGTAAAAAATGTATAAATAATCCAAGTGCCACCAATGAGGCAAATGAGTTGGAGGTTCTATTAAAGTTGCAGGAAAATCCCCATTGAAGTGCACGGCAAATTGGAGCAGAAACTGATATATGCAGAACTTCAGTCCAAAGGGTTATTCACAAGCATAGGTACCATCCATATCACCTATGCAGGCAGCAGCGGTGGCCACAGTAGTAAACTCTTCGGTCTCCCGATCAGTCGCCGTGCGCTGTGCAGGTTCGAATCCCGTCCCAAGAGACATTTTTCTCTTGTCTATGGATGTTGTGATCGTCCGTATCTGGTCTCTGACTGTCGAACGCAGAGGCACCACCCGGCGGATCTCGTAGGCGGGGCCAGAATGTGTGCATGTTGCATGCACACGTGTTCCCTCGCCAGAGTCCGTGTGGCGTTCCCCCTTTCCCCTGTATCCCCGTATAGCCCCACGGTACCCCATGGGTGTTTAGGCCTTAGACCTTCGTGATAGTCGGCATATAAAAAAAAGCTTGCATCAAGGCCTTCGTCCTCAGGATTTCGCAGCTCGAATGGAGTTTTGTAGAATAATGCTATATAAATGAGTGAAGATACTACTTTCCTGGATAAGGTTCTTTTTAGCGATGAGACTTTTAACAGCATAGGTGTTGTCAACAGGCATAACATGCATTATTATGCGACGGAAAACTCTTACTGGGCCCGGATAATAGATTTCCAAAATAAATGGAGCTTGAATGTTTGGGCAGGAGTTATTGGCATACAAGTTATCGGGCCTTTCTTTTTCGACAATAGATTAACAGGTACACAATACTTGAATTTTTTGATCGAGCATTTTTCTTTGCTTTTGGAGGATGTCAACTTGCAAACTCGGATGCATATTTACTTCTAACATGATGGCGCACCTGCGCATTATCATAATCTTGTGCGTAACTATTTGGACACCTGGAGTAACAATCCTAGATTACCAGTTATGACACCGATGGACTTCTTTCTATGGGGCTACGTTAAGCAAGAGGTTTATAGATATCCACCATCTACCCCGGAAAATATGAAGGAAATGATTAGGGATGCTTTTCTGGACATAAGGGCACACATGCTGAGAGATGTGCAACGGTCATTTATCGAAAGACTACGGCTGTGTATTCAACATAGTGGAGATATTTTTTTGTAGATTAGGTCTTGAGTAGTGATAGCTGTTTGTTTATGTTGTGTTTCTCCATTACGCTTGAAGCTGATTTATACTGTTCTGATTTTTTATTAGTTTTTACGTCAAATCTGTACTCATAGTGGTAATATGGAACTAGCTCACTGTTTGTCTTTTGTTTCCATGGATGATGTGCTTTTTTCCCTAAATTTTGGTGTGTTGTTCAATTAAAATCTTAATAACTCAAAATCTAGTGATTTTATCTGAATTAAACCTTATACTAAAAAAAGCTTATAGAAAATTGAATCCAAACTAGCACAAATATACAGGGTGATGCATTTGAAATTTTTGAGAAAAAGTACAATTCGCGTTTTTTACCACCCGGAAATAGCGACGGACTTAAAGTACGGTTATTCTTCATGTTGCTGGAGTTCTTCAGAATACCGCGAACGAGATCGTTGTTCAACTTTGTAGGTCGTTTTTTTTTTCAGCTGCATACTGCCCATCGACTTACATCGTTTCCATTTTTGAAGCTCCTTTGCTTTTGCAGTCATATGTGTACCTCCATCTTGATCCTGATGCTTTTGTGCAATTACGTAGGCTATGTCTAGATTGCTCAGGCCCGTAACTATGTGTCTGGGGCTCTACTATCTTCTTCCTATGTACTGTATCACGCTCAACAATAATCTATAGCCAAATTGGGTGTCAGTGGACAAATTTTAGAAAAAATGCTTAAAAACGATCCACAAGCCCATAAAAAGTGGTGTGTGCTGGGTGTCACACTATACATATTTTTTCCATGTATTTTTTCTGTCGTGAACACGAATCTGAAGTCAAAATTGGGGAAAGGTGGACAAATATGAGAGTGATTTAGATGTCAGAATTAAACATTTTGGTATTTTATCACTGGGTTGTTGTATGTGCATCTCCCAGAGATCTCTGAAGAAATGCACATCCACCAAGAATACCAAAATGTGTGATCCTAATGCCTAAATTACTTATTTGTCCAACGGGGGGGAATTTTGACTTGAGATTCGTGTTCAGCGTGAAAAAGTACACGAGGAAAACATACTGGGCCCCAGACACACTTTTTTTGTGGGCCTGTGTTTTCGAAAAACTCTCCTATTATCTTATCTAACAGGTTTTCATCTTCTGAATGAGATTACATATAGATTTCAATAGATGATCCTTGAATATCCTACGCAGAATGTTCATCACGTTGTTTCTTATATACATTTTCTGTTTCAGATGTATTTATCAGACCTTACTCTTTCGTGTGCAAATTCTGCATTTTCTGGTCGCTGTTTATGGGTGGTAGTGTTTGTAAAACTGATTTTCTCGGTTTAAATTCAATCATCACAAGCTGCTTCACCTACGTTTTGTTCGAAGTTATCGGTTGTCCCTGGTATGATCTGGTAGCGACTACGTCCGATAAATTGATTACTCATAATAAAATTCCGCGTAAACTCATGTTATTAACTCAAAAAGCAGAACACAGATACATTATTAGTAACAGTGTGTTACCATACCAATTTTCAGCTTTGAATTTTTGTAAACCTGAACTGTATTTTGATATTTACGATAATTGTATGAGGAGTTGGTTTGGAGAATAAACATTTGCAAAAACGCAAGCAGATAACCAGATGTAAGATAACATTGGTTTCAATGTATCACCTTCATAAAATGAAGGTGTCTAAATTGTCCAATCCTGTACATATAAGTATTATTTAATATTCTAGTTTAACTTCGTTGGAAAATTATTGGGTCCAAAAGGAAACAATCTGAAACGCCTCCAAGAGGAAACAATGTGCAAGATAACCATCTTGGGCCGTGGTTCCATGAGGGATAAAGCTAAGGAAGAAGAAATGAGGCAGTCATTGGACCCCAAATTTGCGTAAGTCATCATTATAATAAATGCATTTCAATAACTGCTGTTGATAAGACACATATTGCGCGTATTGAAGATGTAAAATCTCTATTATCTATTTACTTTGCATTTGTATATAATATTCTATGCTAGGTTAGGGCCACTGGCATAAACAGAGTCTTCGTTTCACAAAAATGTTTCATCAGACTGTTATGGTCAAGGAAATTTGCAGGCACGCTTTTATGTGTGATCCCTCAAGGTCAAATTACCACTATGGCTCGGCGAGTATTCGGGAATGCATTTTAGGGGGAAATACTTCAAATAGAAGTTATAGAACTGTTTTTCAACTATATGACGGTAATTTGGATGTGACCTTGACCTTGAAGGTCAACTTAATAATTTTAACTGTAAACTTTTGATCCCTGTAATGAACGTTATGTTTCGTTCAGGTATGTAAGTTGAATTACCCCCATATTTGACTTCAATGGCTCGATAAGTCTTAGAGAATGCATTTTAGGGGGAGGTGCTTCATATAAAAGTTGTAGGGTTTTTCCTCAGCTAACGGAAGGTGGCCTTGAATTTTACCTTGACACTTCGTCACTTTAAAGTCCATCTTCTAAATTTCAAACCCCTACTTTTGGTCCCGGAAGTGAAACTAGCGGAAAATTTTATGTCCAGGTATGACCTATATTTGACTTTGAGTAACGCCCCGGTTAAATAAAGATAATACCGGCCCACTAGGGATAGGTAAGTATAGTAAGTGTAAGTAAATCACATTTACTTTTTTGCTCTTAGCTCGGCCTCCACTGACTCGAAAAAACTATAAAGGTTTTTCGTCCTTAAAATAGTAACCTTGTGTGAAAACTTCAATCAAAATCTGACCACTACTTTCGAAGTTGTAGAGAGATCAAGTATTAGCGGACAGACAGACTATACATGTCACATAATACGTCGATCATATTTGTCATTAAAAGCAATTTACGGTAGCCGAAGATTCCTTTCGTTGAAACTTAAAATCATGCTCTATGATACTTAGTATTATTATCCAAGCTGAGGTACTTTACGGCCCGCATTTAACTAATCAGTATCGACGTAAAATTCAAATGGTACAAAATTCCTGTTTGCGTCTTGCATGTAGAATACGACGGAGACAAAGAATATCTCACAAATTGAAAGATGTTGGTTGATTAAACATGGAAAATCGTTGGCGCCTTCACTCATCTGTTTTTATTATAATTTTTTTGAATATCCTTGTCAAAAAATAACTTTCGGACTGATGATCATAACATTCATTTGAGAAATAGGGGTCTCCTTTCACCAGCAGCTCATAACGTCGTTTTTTAAACGAAGCCTCACATATCACATATGTAAAGTCTACAAGTCAGTCCGGAAGGAGTTATAATTATGTAAACTAAGTTAAAGCCACTTTTAGGAAAGAACTGCAAGAACAGTAATACTGCAGGAATCTCTGTTTTTTTTCATGTTTTTGGATATATCCCCTTTTACAATAACTTTCATGTGTTTATGGTTTAGTTTTTTTGTTGCATAGAGCGCAGATACTGGGCTAAGTGGGAGAGCTGGTACTGCGTACTAAGCAAGCTGAACTTTGCCCTTTATTGGCTGAATCAAATTATATTTTTCTTTTTTTTACCACTTTGTCAATTTATGTCAGTAATAAAGACGGTTATAGTTATTATTTATTATTATTATTATTATAATTATTATTATTAATTATTTGTTAACGTTATCATCATTATTAATCATTATTATTATTAAACACCCAAAAAACCCACAGACAAACGGAAATGAGTGAAATGATTTTTCGTAGTGTACTTGTCATATAACATTCAGAGAACTTATTATTTTACAAATTTTTCGCGATTATAATAGTTTCATGCCAGTAGCGTAGGAAAACAGGCAGAGCTATGCCGGAGAACCTTGATGGCCATTCTATGGCTTCTCGTCTACCCATACACTGATTAGGAAAAGTTTGATCCAGATAGACCCTCACATTCGATCAATTATGTGAGGGTGTACCGTCCTGCTGAAACCAAACATTACCGAAATCTTCCCCAGCCTTTTCCAGAATTGGAACAGTCTGATCAGTGAGAAGCTGCACAGATACTTTTCACCTTCCAAATTTTCGCCAATAAAAATGGCGCAATCAATTGATCTTTGTAAAGTCTCGCCCAAACATTCCACTTCTGAGGGTTTTCATCGCTCTAGTGTCTAAAATGATGACGAATGAGTTGAAAGGTTGATTCGTCTTAAAAAATTATATCATATCTTCATTAAACAACTCTTGGTGGAGATGTATTTTGTGATGGTGAAATTTTAACGATTTCAAATTTCTGCTAAGTGAACGAAAAGCCATTTCAAATATTCCTGGTGCTTTTTTAACTGACAATCTTGGATTCTCGATAAATGTTTGTGTAACTTTCATTTGTGTTCATCCGTTGTTTGAGTCTTAGGTCTTCCAGATTTTAATTTATTTTGTATGTAATACACAGTAAGTCATCATAACGGCTGGAGCCTAAGTTTTTTAGAAGCAATCATCAATTTACTGTATTCGAAGGTATTCCTTTCCATGAATCAAACTCTCTTTTACTAAAATTTGTCTCGCCGTGGTCTTGCATCGCTGTCTTTCTTTAGTCTAAAATTGTGTACACGTAAATGGTAGCCGAGCCAAAGTCATGTCCACCACAAAAAGCGTAGTGAGTATCCTGAAGATGACTATCCCTTCTACGGCGACTCTCTTAAAAGTGGTGATATGGTAATTGAGAGATGCATAAATTGGGAGCTTATAGAGTACCTTGAACGTCACGTCATGATTTAACTAGCGATAGGCACTATGGTTTCCGGCACCAACGATTCACGTCACGCAACTGTGGAATATATATATATATATATATATATATATATATATATATATATGAGCGGTAGTCATTGCCAAAGCCAACGACAAGTTGGGTACAAAATACAATTAATTGTTAATTGGGAAATTGGCAAAACTCTTAGGCTTAAGTTGACTCTTTTGACGATAAAATCAAGCTTTCGGCATTCTCTATGGAGCCTTCATCAGGATTTGGTCGGTGAGGTTGCAGCCACAAGGTGTTTCAGAACGAACGTAGAGAAGATCGAAATTATAATCAGTATAAAAACAAAAGGACGGGGACATTGGGTATGTTAACAATTAATTGTATTGTGTATATATATATATATATATATATATGAAATAAGAAAACGATATAAAGATACTCAAGCAAAAGATATACTACTTGAATGAAATGCTAGAATAAAAAACTCTATCATATTAGACAAAGAAATGTACATTAACCAGCTCGTAAATGAAAATAGACATCTGCAGGAGCATTATGAATTAATTATTAGTAGTATCGTCGACAAAGATACTATTATCACCTCACTAAGCAAGATAAACCAAAGAATCGAAAATATAGAAAAAATTCCTTAAGAACAGTAAAAAAATAGATGGACCAGAAATAGAAACAACAACCTCACAAAATGAATTATCCACTGCATCATACCGCAGTACTCTTAAAAAACTAAATATGAGTCATAAATCAGCTGTTCTTTTAATTAGACCTCACAAGATCTCAGAAAATCAAGACATACTAAGAAATTTAAAACGAAGCATAAATCCTGTTGATTTGAGTGTACGGATCGATGGATCAAAAAAAAAACTAAAAACGGAGCAGTAATTTACTGTAAACATTCAACAGATTTAACCAAATTGAAGAGTGCCCTAGATTCTAAACTTGGAAAAGAATATGAAGTTAAGAAGTCTGAAAAAATACAATGCAAGAATTTTAATCAAAAACGTTCATTTATAATATCCCTTAACAACCTGGATGACGAAGACCCGAGTTCTCTGAAACTGGTTACGAAGCTAAAAATACAAAACGCTAAACATATCGTCATAGAAACCACTCGTCGCGTAAGATCACACTTGATGGATAGAGGCTTCATATACTTAGGATGGAAAAAATATAGCATAGCACATCACATAAATGTTATCCAGTGCCGTAAATGCTGTGGATTTGGGCATTATGCAAAAAATTGTAAATCTAATAACTTATATCAGAAATGTGCAGGTAATCATTTTATCAATGATTTTAAAAGTGACCTAGTCAATTGTATAAATTGTATAAAATCAAATGAAAGTCGTTCTACCACATACGATGTTCATCACAATGCTAACGACAAATCCTGTCCTATTCATGAAAAATATTTTAACTACATTAAAAGTAAAACAAATTATAATTAAACTTTCCGTTTAGACAAGAAACTTATTGAGAGATATATGGATACATACGTGAAAGATTTCAATCCAGAAGTAATTAAATCAAATATTTTGAACGACTTACGTACTTCAAAATTATATTTCTCTAATGATACCACATCAGAGCTAAAAATATTCCATACAAACATTAGTAGTGTTCATAAAAATTTAGATGAACTTCAGACGCTCTTGGATTGGATTACTACTGTAAGTACGAATGTCTTACAGGGGTGAAAACAATCAAGAGCTGTTTGATGATACATTGAGTGACACTGATTCGGACTCACAGTCGGATACGGAACATATCCAACATAGTTTAAGGAATTTGCAATTAAGACCTAGTATACTAAATAGTACAGTCAACATGAACAACAGTCGAGTAAATCAATCAAGCATGTCATTACGCCCAGAGTATCTTAACATGATACCCGAATTTTATGGTCAACAAGAATTATTACCAAGATTCATAGATATTTGCGAAAAGTTAGTGAATAAATTTTATAGATTAGAGGTTGAAAATGACTTCCAGAACGAATATCTTATGAGTAGTATTTTAGCGAAAATCAAAGGTAATGCAGCTTTAAATATTAGTAGCAATATTATAAAAAAATGGACAGACTTGAAAACTGCACTTTTAAATACATATCAAGACAAGCGTGACGTATTTACTCTAAATATAGAAATGTGTGAATTGAAACAGAACAATGAAACCCCCTTTGAATTTTAT